CGTCGTCACTTATGGTGTATGGTCTGCCCTCGACGCTCTTCCCGTTTTTTGAAAGGAAGTATACGTAGAGCCCTAGCGACCAGCTACAATTAGGTTGATCAGAAATTATCAGCTACTTTTTGCTAATGAGTATATAATTTTGCTGATGGTTTTCAATAGTTCTGAATGCCACTCGAGGGTCCACAATCATCCACGCATTCGTTATAAAACATATGCATATTTGTTTTTAGGAGCTCACAACTGAGCAAGAAAAGATCATGACGTTGCATAAGTACAAAATGTGATTATTTGCTTGCGTGCAAGCGTATATCAGAAAGAACAAGTCATCCATCAAAATGCAGGGAACGTCGCCGCTTTCGAAAAAGGATGCAGTCATTAAAAATAAGCAACCAAATCTTGAAATAACACAATGGTAGAGAAAATCGCTGAAGAATTTCCCTCGAAAGCGATTAGTGGCCTGCGATGCAGTGATTCAATTACGCCATAGTTTGCAGCCCCGCCCGCACCGTTTTATCGGCGCTCTCAATTAGCGCGTCTCGTTACACCCCAGCAAAATCGACACTCACGGTTGGCACCTCCCAAACGCGAACGGATCCAGAATTGACACCCACAATAAATTACCATGTCGTGGCGAGCGAGATTATGATTGAGATTTGCTAATGCCGGAGATAGCCCTCCGCTAGTCTATAATCATTTCTTCCAGCCTTTCCGAAGAACAGTGGGAGCAAAAATGATAGGGAGAAGGTCAGCGACAAGAGCGTAAACTGGAGAAGTCAACTCCGAGATTCGGTAGGCCTTGTGTTACTTATTTGTATATTGACGTAGACATAAGCCTACGTGAGCTAATGACACATAACAAATGAGCCAGTGATGAGCTGAAACCCGGAGCAGCTCAGCGGCACACGTAAATGGGTGTGGTTCACTACGACAGAAAGCGACTTTTTCGCGTTTCGCAGCGCGAAACATTTTCGCTGCGGGAACCTCAGGTCCACCGCTGATCATTGGTGGACCTGAGTTTCCCACAGCGAAAAATGTTTCGCGCTGCGAAACGCGAAAAAGTCGCTTCTTCTCGTAGTGAACACCCCATCACGTAGATATGACCCTAGAAAGAATAGCAAGAACCGCGGCAGCTTGTTAAAATCTATAATGAATTTTTTCATGGAACGCAAATTCATCGGAACGCAAATAAAAGCGACATTTGGCAAATAAAAAAAATTCATTCACACGAAAGCAGCATCATACTAGTACAAAGATACAAAACTTCAAAAATTTCGCGGTTCCCATCAACTGGAATAGCAAACTAACCTATGCAACCCTTCTTGTGGATTCCACCAGGCATGATACCGATTTTACACTCGTCCGATTTGATGATTCCCGGACAATTAGGACCTACCAGCCGAGACTTATCTGCAAAGAAAAACTAGTTCCTGTGAATTAATTGTCGGTGTAAACCCGGAACGATAACACATCTGATACCATCTTCACTCACTCTGCTTCAAAAGTCGACTTTTCGCGTACACCATATCATGCTGAGGAACTCCTTCACTAATGCAAACAATGAGACCGACCTAAAAAGCCAATATTGTTGAGTTTTTGTGAATTCTGCGTTGAACAGTAATCCTTTTCAGCGATCAGCTCAAAGATTAGGGCCCTACTTGCACTATTACAAACAATCTCAGTAGGGGTGAGGGGTCAAGAATAATTTTCGCTGAAACTTCGACTATAGGGTTATCAAGGGTCCTCATCACGAATATGATATTCATTTTTGGCGCTGGCGCCAATTTGGCGCCATTTGGCGCCAGGTGGCGCCACGACTGATTCCCACTAAATTCGCTGTAAACTTCTGTATAGGGGTTATTTGGGGTCCTGATTACGAATATGACATTCGTTTTTGTTGTTGGCGCTATTCGGCGCCTATTTCCTGCTCGTCTGCGCCCTCGCACTAATTAGATCGCAATCAGGACTAAGCCTTTGAATAGTGGAGGGCTCCAAAGTAGGCCACTCCCCTGTGGTCTAACACACTCTTTTGCCACACGGTGCGTGGTTTACCACTCCGGAGTTTCACTCCCTCCCTAAGCTTAGTCTTAGGCGCTATAGGTGAGAAGCTTAGAAAAGGGCAGAAAAGTATGTTAAACACCCCACGAATGCAAAAATGAGTGGCCATTCCGGTGATCAGCGCCCCAAGAATAAAACGCATATGGCAGAGGTTACGGCGAGTTGTGTTATACTGCAGAGTGGCCCCAAGGTCAGCGCCAAAAAAGGATGTCATATTCGTGATCAGGACCCTCGATAACCCCCATAGCAGAAGTTTCAGCGAAAATTATTTTTGACCCATCTCGGCCTCCACTGGGGTTGTAATAATGCAATGAACACGATTGAGAATACCTTCATATAGGGCTTTGATAACTTAACAAATCCGTACGAGCACAATTTCTGAGTTCCGAGATGTTTTTCTTCGATTAATAAAAAAGCGTAGAGTAAATGAAGCTTGAGAACGAGGAAAACTTTCGTAACTACAAGAAGGCAAGCAAAAATATTTCGGGTATTGAATTTGCACGACTTTGTTTCGAAGAATGCAATATTGGCCAATTGCGAAAGAATGGAGGGGATAGCTGTCTATTTCTATAATAATGGGCATTGCGATGAGATACGCGCTCAAAACCACCCCAAGAATTTTCCTTTACTTATAAAAATTGAGGACATAACCACATATATGGGGAAAGAGGCGCCAGCGGCTTCCATTTTGTTCGAAATACCACCCCCCTTCCAGGCTTAGTCCTCCAAAGCCTCAGCCCCTGGACCAGAATTACGTCTGCGCACCATACTGAACGAAAACCCGTCCAACACCCAAGAAAAGAAATGACGTAGGAATGAATCCACTAGCAGCTCGTAAGTTTAAGGGAGTCATTTAGCAAAACTGGGATTGCAGTAGTTCACGCATCGCAGCACCCCTCCTCAGGGCGCATTTATAGTCGGTCGTCCGATCGTAACGACCGTAACGATCGCACAGCATTGGATGCGTATCGATCGTCCGATGTGCTCGCAATAGGACGATCGATACGTATGTAACGCTGTGCGATCGTTACGATCGTTGCGATCGGACGACCGACTATGAATGCGTTGAATGAAATAGAATCAAAATGCCTACTTACCAGTAGGATGTGGCATTAACCTTCAAAAGACTAGACGTACCTCGGCTTCCATAGCTTCTTCAATAGCCTTTCCAGCTGCCTTATATGGAACATAGATGACCGTAGCATCGCATCCAGTCGCCTCTTTTGCCTCTGCCACTGTTTTAAATACTGGCAAGCCCAAATGCTCTGTTCCAGCCTAGATACACAAATGTTCCTCTTCATTAAACCAGCAACCGGGAAGCAACAGGATAACCCAAAATGTCTAATATTCGAAGCAAAAAAAAATTTCGTCATAGCATTACTACAGAGGAACTTCTCATTACCACGGTATAAGCTGCAAAAGCTATCAAGTGGCCGTAAAACAACAAAACACCCAAACAATACAAACATGCTGCCATACCTTGTTTGGTGACACACCACCGACGACTTTCGTCCCGTAATCAATCATTTGTTGTCCATGAAATGTTCCTTGTTTTCCCGTGAAACCCTGAATAACTGTCGGTAC